AATCATTAGTAACAGTTGCTGTAATACAAATATTACATAGGTGATTATCCAAATTTTCACTGTTGATGGGATTTGAATACCCAACCTACCACTTAAAGGGTTGACAATCTGATCACTTCACTAGGTCACCACACCCTAATTGATCAATTTTATTTTATTAAACTTTTCAAATTATTTTTAAAATATTTTGTTGATTTTATTAAATCAAATCAATATTTAATTGAAAACACAAGAAAATGTTTATCAGTTTCATCATATGATCATTTTACAGTTATTGAAAACACAAGACAATTCTTATCAGTTTCATCATATAATTGTTCTATTCCATCTATAACTGATATTTTTATTAAAAAGTTAAATAAAATTAATTCTGTAAAAACATTTACTGATTATGAATATCCTCTCAATGAAGAAACATGTTGAAATTGTAAAAAAAGAGGTTATTCTCATATCTGTTATATAGCTTGCAAACAAGAATCTGAATAATGTGATTGTGAGTTCATTTGTGAGCTCACATATTCAACATAGTATAAACATAAACATCTATGTCAATTTGCAAAAAGTAGGTACTTCACAAATAATTTAAATAATGTTATGCATCAATGTAAAGGCAAAATAGTTAAAGATAAAGTTTTTTTGTTTATAAATGAAAAAGATACTCAACTTTTTGACCTTAATAAACCTATTAATTAAATGTATTGTTTTAAATGTAATTCATATAATCATGTTTTTTCTCATTGTTCTCAAACTTATCATTTATATTTAGATTAATATTTTGTAAAAATTTATTTTTTTATTTAATAAATATATCTAACTAGTACATTAGTACTAGTTAAAATTTTTATTATATAACTTTTTTTTTATCTAATTAGAATTTTGATTGTATAAATAAATATTCAAGTATTTCAATTCAAACATCAATTTACTAAAGATTATTTTAATATATAAAATTATTATTACAATTTTTTTCTTAACAAATCAAGTCCAAGAAAAAACTTGTTTTTAAATAATTCTAATTATTCAAAAACACAAGAATTCTGTAATAAATATGCTTTTCTGTTTGATTTATTATTTTTATATTATCCAAAATATATTACAAACTAGTATCAGTTAGAAATATTATTCTGGATTTCTGTTGAGACAAAAAATTATTTACAACCTGTTGCTCTTACTAATTCTTTTAATCCACTATTAGAAATTCTTTTAGAAGAAAATGAAGATGATAATTAAGTTGTATAATCAATATTTTAATGATTTAAAGGAATTAGAAAAACAACATTTCAAACTAGAAAGTTTTTCATGTATTGCTGCTCAAAAATTTTATAATACTTACAAATATATATATATATATATATATATATTTTATTTTAAAGCCAATATTATTGGTAGCTACCACCTTTATTTGTGTTTTTGGTCAATGCATTATATATGACTTGTACAAAATAAGTGTGCAACTAGCCACATGTATAACTTTTGGTTACCTATTTAAGTAGTTTGCCCAAGGGTTCTACACTAGTTGCCATGCCTGTAACCTACTAGAAGGATACCTATTTAAACACTCTAATTCTTATACTACATACAGACAAGTAATACCTGGTTTCCATACAACTAAGTGCCATCTAACCTAACATTTAGCTTCCCCTTTTGTATGTCTGTCAAGTCATTAAACATTTCAGAATATGTTATCTGACTGTAAGGTTCTGAGGTACCCTCTTGTTAACTATCTATCTACTCTATAAAATATTAACAAGGTTAGTACTTGTAAAGTTTACTTAAACCTCAGTACCTACTTCATAGCATATTCTTAGTACTTATAGTATACCCCTGCTTTGACTCCAGACTTTCAATTTAGATAATCCAATAGGACTATAACCTGTCCTTGGTATATCGAGCTGGCCTAATATCCTTTTCTTCTGGTTTGGTTTTAGCAGCCTGGTTGGTGGTATCCCTTACCTAAGGTTCTTGTCCATTCAGCTCCTTCATATTGGTATCTGTTTCTTAGATCTAGCCTTTACAATAGTACAATCAAAGATCTGTATTACTTCTTTACTCGGGTCTTTTCAAGTAGACTTTAGTTTTCCAGTTCTACAGATTTACACAACCACAAGAACTTATCTTAGGTTTGCACTGCCTGGTACCGGTTTGCATTTCTCTGTATAACCAGGGTTATACAGATGTCCTGTGACCTGCCAGTCATGCTAGTGCAACTATAGTTACAGGTATCCTATTTCAACTGATCAACAGAATGCTATCGCTATAATATTATTTATGTATTATATAGGTAATTATTCAAATTTTTTGCTATCAGTAGGTTTTAAACTTATAACCTACCACTTGGAAGGTTGACAACTTATTCACTTCACTAAGTTGCCACACCTCTTCCTTACTTATAAATGTTTATTTAACCAATTTCTATTATATTTTTATTATAATTTTACTAATATTGATTCTGAAATGAAAATCGATAATTTGGTTACAATTGCCTATCTTGTTAATTTTAAAATTAAATAAATTTTTTACTTAGTTTAAAACCAAGTAGATTTTTTTTTATATAACCTTAAAAGATGGAATTACTTCATACAATACTTTAAAATTTTAATACCAAGAAACTTATTAACATTGCAATTGACAGATATGCAGCAGTTGGAAAAATATCAGTTAGAGAAGCAATTGCAAATCAATATAGTTATCAGTTTATTAATTCTGAGTTATTTTATTGATATGTTGGTTATTATTATAATGATTATTCTATTGACCAAATCAAGCAAATCTTCAATAAAGAACAGATATTAGAATTAATTAATTCTGTCAAACATCTTAATGAAGAACAATATAAAGAATCAGAAATTAGAACAGCTTATATATCAACAAATAATAAATTATGTAATATTATAAATGAAATGATTAGAAAAATAGTCAAAAACAAAGGATTTGTTATAGTTGGTCATAATATCACCACATTCAGTTTACCTGATACTGAAATAAAAATAATTTTATTAGCAAATATGAAGACTTGTGTAGCTTGATATGCTTTCCAAACAAATTTTAAAGACTATACTGATATTTTTAACAAAATTTTAAGATGTATTATTTCAATTATTAATTAAACAAGCATATAATGTTTTATATAAGATTGATACAATCAAATTAACATTATCCAAAGTTGTTGATATGATTTTAATTCAAGTGTTTAAAAAGATACTTGGTATAATATATCAATGTTATTACAGAATAATCATTATTATTTTAATTTTATTTATATTAAATTATTTTAATTTTTAATA